CAAGGCAGAGGGTAGAAGGGAGAGAGTGGAGTCTATACTGGCTCAAGTTCCAGGAGCTTTAGCCTCTGATTGTCCTGAACCACCCCTCCCCACACACACACCCCCAGTTCCCCACCTACATCTGTGTAGGGAGAACCATGGACTTTCACAGAGCAGCTGCTAAGGAAGAGTATCTCTCTCAAGCAGGAGATACAGAGATCGAGGTGCCATTCTTTCTGACTGAAACCACTGACCGCACATGTCATCTCGCTTCTTGCTCATTTTAGTGAGACATGCCACGGTGGCATTTGCAAAAAAAAAAAAAAAAAAAAAAAAGGGGGGGGGGGCCATAGGAAAAAAAATGGTGGGTGGGCCATAGTGACTGGACTGTGAGGTTGGTAGGGGTGGGGTCTCAGAATGTGCGGAGGGATGTTTGACAACTGAGTTCCTGAAATCTGGAAGCTCAAGTAATAAGATCTGTGGACTGGGTGCTGGTCCAATTACTCAGTTCCTTTACCCTCCCCTGTCTTGAACAATAGTTTGGTGTGGCACTGTTTGTGGTGACAAGGAAAGGAGAGAAGAACCCTGCACAGGATCCATGGAGGTTAGTGTGAGCCCTGGCACTGTCTGGAAACCTTGGAAGTTCTCTATGAATTCTGTGGCAAGCGCTGCTATCTAATTGTGAGATGGGGTGAGGCTAGCTAGGGGACTTTCCCTAAACTACCTTTACTTTTGAGTTTTGACTTTTCATTTAAATTATGTGTTGATGACAAACTTTTCTGTGAACGCTTTCACATTATTTCCACATCAGATACTACTGAGAAAATACAAATAGTATCAAAGGTTACTAATATAATTTTTGGAGATAGCCTGTGGTGGGGAAGGGATAGTGATTTTATAGAAGCAAAAACTTTTTCCTACACCTTATTTCTTCTGCTGGAGGCTCCCAGAGATGGGTCTAAGGGGAAGCAGGTAGCAGTAGGCGATGATTCTGGAGTATGAGATCAGGGGGCCTCCATCTCTCCCTCCATCTTCAGTTTTCCAGTTATCTCCACCTACTTGACCATCTTGGTGAAGAAAATAATGGACTTGGGAGGAGGCCCTAGAGTCTTACAGGTGGTTTTAAAGTAATTTCCCTCTCTCTTTCCCCTTTTGTTTTTCCTGACTTGCTTTTCCATGCTGCCCATTTCAGTGTTGGGAAAGCCCCAGAGTCTGCCTGCCAGGAAATAGGTCTCTAACTCCAGAAAGGCAGATATTGGGACCAATGTCTTAGATGCTAGGATGTTACCACCACTCAACATTCACCCATTCCTTTTTACTCTAACTGTTCTTAGGTCTTCCCAATAGACCTGCAGTGAGGCTGTTTACTACTGGAAACAAAGGGCAAGAGGG